TGTTGACCATCGTGTGGACTATACAACCCCAATCCCTGTACTCGATTGACATTTTTTTCGCAAATGTTAGGTACATATAAGAAAACTATTGTCGCTAAATTGCACGTGTCGCAACTATTGTCTTGACTTTTACGACAATGATTGTCACTGTAAATAGAAATCTAGACCAGTGACTATATCTCTATACTCGTAAGTATAACTAACGATCAACAGCTACACATCAGAAGATACTATCTACTTTGTCGAACTCGATACGACTTGTACTTTGCGGAGGGTTCAAATGCCGTGATTTTTTTTTAGGAGGAAGAAAACTCAACGAGTAACTACCACCTGAGAGAAGAATTCCAGCGTGGGAGCTGAAATTCTTCTTGGTACAACACTATAAATGATCATGCTGAAACAGTTTGTTTAGTGTTGCTGTAAAAGTATTTCATTTGAGATTGCGTATATTCATTCATTGGTGGCACTTCTACCTGTGTTTGCTACCTTAATAATCCTAGACTGGCTGGCAGTAGTCATGGTGTCTAATTTGGACAGTGAGGTAGCGCACAATTACGTTAATGTAGAACAACCCATCACATTTAAGAGAGCTCCACCTCTACCCACGTAGTATCGAATCATGGCTACAGCTGCAGTAGCAAACAAGTCACCACTACCAGGGACATCAAACCCACACAACCCTTCAAAGACTACCTCCAGCTCCACCCTGTCCACCAGATCAACGCCGTCTCTACTGCTAACTAGCCATACAGTTTCATCTTATACCAAAGAACGCAAAGTTGGTGAAGGTACATATGCGGTAGTTTATCTCGGGAAACAAACATCAACCAAACGACCCGTTGCCATAAAAGAGATCAAGACTGGGTTGTTTAAGGATGGACTCGATATGTCAGCCATACGTGAAGTCAAGTACTTGCAAGAATTGAAACACCCTAACGTGATTGAATTAATTGATGTGTTTGCGACCACAAACAACAATTTGAACTTGGTCTTAGAGTTCCTACCTTGTGACTTGGAAGTTTTGATCAAGGACAAGAGCATAGTTTTCAAATCGTCCGATATCAAATCGTGGATGTTGATGACGCTACGTGGGATACATCATTGCCATCGAAATTTCATCTTGCACCGTGATTTGAAACCAAACAACTTGTTGATCTCACCCACTGGACTTTTGAAAATTGCCGATTTTGGTCTTGCTCGAAGCTTGGGAAATCCCAATGAAGATTTAAGCTCAAATGTGGTTACTCGGTGGTACCGAGCACCAGAGTTGTTATTTGGGGCAAAACACTATACTGAGGCCATTGACATATGGTCCATTGGAATTATATTTGCTGAGTTGATGTTGCGGATTCCTTATCTTGCCGGTAAAGATGATGTTGACCAGTTGGATGTGACGTTTAGAGCATACGGCACCCCAACTGAACAAATATGGCCCAATGTGTCAAGCTTACCATTGTATAATGCCTTGCATGTGTATCCACCTCCATCAAGACAGGAATTGCGAACGAGATTCAGTGCTGCTACTGACAAAGCTTTAGACTTGTTGATATTGATGACTCAATTGGATCCTAGTCGTAGATGCACTTCGACTCAGGCTTTGTTGCATGAATATTTCACTGAGGCTCCTCGACCTACAGCACCAGAATTGTTACCGAAAGTCAAGGAGAAAAAGAGAGCTGAGATTGAAGACGATAGTGCAAATAGTGGAAACAACTCAGATGCATTAAAGAGGAGACGGGTATAGTGTAGTAGTAGTAAAGTAGGAAATGCAAATGGTTTCTGGTTAATGCGCACCTGTATCATTCTATTTATGATATATGTTCTTTACGTGCTCAGCAATGGCCCAAGCTGCAGTCAATCCTGGGCTCTCAATCCCTAAAAGATTAACAAATCCCGGATACCCATCTTCTTCTTTAATTACAAAATCAGCAAAGTGATCCTTACTCTCCGTTGCTGATAATAATTTTGGCCTGACTCCAGAATAAGATGGTGACAATGAATTTTGCGTGATTGCTGGAAAATATTGCATTACGGCCTCATATGCCGGTTTCAAATTTCGTGGATTGGGAGTATAGTCTATTTCATCGGCACTTGACACATCCAACCATTCCAAGTCAGGTCCAAATTTCAATTGTCCACCTAAATCCAAAGTCAAATGAGTACCCAATGATGACGCATTAGGATTAGGACATGGGTAAATCAATTTATCAGTGATTCGTTGTCCAATTGGGGTTTCTGGTGCATAACTGAAGTAATTACCCTTGGCGTAGTAATAATTGTAATGCTTATTTTGAGGTAGCATCATATTGGCAACATCAGCAGCAAAAAGACCTGCCGAGTTGACTATATTATCAGTAGTGATATCCACTATTTCTCCATCCAGTTCAAGGGACACTGTATAATTAGAAACTCCAGGATTATGCATTATACCAACCACCTTGCTATTCAACCCCACAGTACCATCACTATTTTCGAAACCGGCCTCGTGGAATGCGACAAACTCATGAGCCGATATAATTCCCGATGTGGGACTTTCAAGAATGGCTTTGTTGGCACGAATAAGTGGATAACGCAGTTTTGCTTTCTCTATGGGGACAAAGTTCACAGGAACGTCCAATTCCCTTGCATTTGCTTGCAATTTGTGCAAGTATTCCTCCTCCACTTCATCCTGTGCAACAACCCATTTACCGCACTGTTGTAAATCCACTGGTAGATTCCCCAGTTTCCAAGCTTGGTAAATCTTGTTCTTACCAGCAATACAGAGCTGTGCTTTCAAACTCAGACTAGGGTAGTATAGTCCGGCATGTATGACTTCACTATTGCGTGAAGTGGTTTCCTGCCCCAAAGTGTCATGTTGTTCAACAAGAAGTACATTGTTACCCGATTGTTGTTGTAATTCAGATGCCGTTGCCACACCAACTACGCCTCCTCCAATGACGATGTGTGAGAATTCCGATAGTGTGGGGATTGAAGTGTGTAATAGTCGCCTACTGGTGGTCTGAAACATGAATGAAAGTCAGGATGGGCTGAGTATTAAAAGTGTAAGGGAAATTACAGTGGAGGTTCGATAGGACTTTAAGAGTGGTGTCGTGAATTTGTATTACGCGACAGTAACACATCAGTTTTGCAGCTCATCAAAGGAGATGCCAATAGTATTATTACATGAGAGGAGGGAGGCGGAGAAGAGTTTGGTCGATGATTTTACTTGTTTACTCGGGAACCCGTAACGTGGAATTTGCGGTTGTGCTGATCTACGCCACTTGTCACTAGCCTCTCTCTTTCATTTCAGGTAGCAGGTGGTGTTGAAGACAGAACTCTTAGAAGTGTGATGTCTTTTCGACCACAGTCCAAGGAGTACAGATGGTACCTGATTGTGACAGAAATGAAGGAATTGCTATTTTGAAACCTCACTTTAAAATACATGAAGGTGCGTTATTACCTATAATATCTGGACATTGTAACACAATCTAATTTTTGCAACTGGCCATCATGATGGTGCTTACTTCTATAGAATATATGCCCCACGCTTAGTAGCAGTTGTATTGAAATATATCTGTACAAGATGAAAGAAGTTGTGTTGAATGTAGCAAATCTCAACAAAAAGTTGAAATTTGAAATTTCAAAAATATTGGTAAAACGACGACACACACACACACACAAGACGGAGAAAAAAAAAAAAAAAAAAAAAAAAAAAAAAAAAAAAAAAAAAAAAAAAACATTTTTCTAAAAATCCCGCAAATTTGAGTGTGTCTCTGAGACAGACACCAAAACAATTCAAAATTAAACTACAAATACAAATTATAAAACACGCAAATATATATGTATATATATATATACACATAAGCATGACGTATATAATGTAAAAGGCTTCTTTGTACTTGATAATAGGAGTGGGTGTGAACGACAGACAGACAGGCATACATACATACATACATACATACATACATACATACATACATACATACATACATNCATGGAGGCACTACACATATGCCACGTTTATCTTTTGCTTTTCGCTAGTTCCCTGTTACCTTTCCCTTCCATTCTCTCGTATGGCTTCAAATTACAGCATCTTTGTTTACTCATCACACACACACTCACGCACACACACACACACACACTCACGCACACACACACACACACTCTCTCTCTCTCTCTCTCTGTCTTTCTCTCTCTAATAATCAACCTCCTTTTCGGTCACTTAAATTGTACACTGATTACGCACATGTCTCACAATTCAAATAGGTATGATTGGAGGAATGTATTCTTACAATTGCTGTATTATATATCATGTGTAAACCGGGTTTCCTTTTCTTTTTGTCCTTAACGTTTACAATTTAAATAATTTTGTCTCAATTTAAAAGCCAAAAAAAATTAAACAAAAAGAAACCAACGTATAACAGAGATCGCATACGGGGCTATTTTGTAGACACAAGTAGTTTATCTTCTCTATTACTTACAGATCAACGACGTACTGGCAACTTTCACTTCAAACATCTATATACATGAGTTCTTTGTTGAAGTATTCTTTCTCCAAATCCATATTTTTTGTATGCGGCTTTTACTTAATTTGTACAAACAGACAACACGCGTATTGAAGTTGACGCGATTTGTTTTCTTTTTTTTTTTTTTTTTTTTTTTTTCAGCTTTTCCCAAATACCTAGANTTTTTTTTTTTTTTTTTTTTTTTTTTTTTTTTTTTTTTTTTTTTTTTTTTTTTTTTCCAGCTTTTCCCAAATACCTAGAGAGACTCAAGCTAAAACACATCCATAGATACCACAGCCCATCAGTAACAAGGACATGTCATACAAGAAAATCTCACTTTTCCCTGATGGTAACTCATACGCATATTTTAATGATTACATTAAGAGATTGGTCATTGCTAACAGTGAAGGTATACTCAAATTAGTCAATGTTGATGACTTTGATTCCCAACCAGTGTCAATTGATTTCTTACTGAATTTGACTTCGGTTTCATTCCGTAATGATACATTGGCAACGACTACAACCGAAGGTAAATTGGAGCTCATAGATTTGACCAAACACGAGTCAAGGGGAGTCATTTACAGATCAGAGTTGCCCTTGCGTGATTTAGCATTTATTAATCAAGGTAATCGGATACTTTGTGGTGGGGATGATAACAAGTTGGTCATTATTGATTTACAAAATGATAATCAATACAAGACTATCACCTTGCCTGATCAGTTGTTGAACATATCCTATGACAACACGGGGGAATTGTGTAGTATCAGTTTATCCAATGGAGAAGTACAGATTTATTCTGTATTTAATGAAGAGCTAAATTTACTACACACATTGACAGAGGCCATTGATAAAAAGATCAACTTGTCCACCGATAATATCGACTTTAATAATGAACATAATGATGAAGTGTATACATCAAAAACTCAGTGGTCAAAAGACGGACATTTTTTACTCGTTCCAGCAGTAAATAATCTCATTCAAGTCTATCAAAGACTGGATTGGACCAAAGTAAAGCTGTTTACAAGCGACTCCAAGATTATTGACTACAACTTATCTGGATCCAAATTGGCAATCTTGACTTTGAATACCTATAAAGTAGTGGATTTTGACTCTACAAGGACTTTGCATGAGGATGATTTTGAATTGAATGAAGATGCATTACCATTGAATATCGAATGGGAAAACAAGTCTAGCCTTTTCATTGGTAGTACTTATGGAGATATACTAAGATTGAAGGACGTTGTTCAAGGAGGAGGAGCAACGGAAAAAGATACTGGAGCCAGTTTGTTTATGGATGATTTGGAGGAAAGTGATGATGAATTTGGAAAAAGCGATGACCAAACAGAGGTGAATAGACTTTTAAATCATGAAGGAGAGCAACCCAACGGAGCCAACGGAGTCAACGGAAAGCGTTTGTTCATCGATGATAATGATAATGTCGATCTTGATGACAACGAGAATTCGATTTTGGATGATGATGATGATGATGATGATGACGGTGATGAAGGGGGATATTCTAGACCACCCCCACCAGTGCAAAGAAATGGGTTTAAAAAGCACAAAGCGTCGCCAACATCGATGCAGCCATCACCACCACCACCACCACTGAGATTCTACACCAGCAAGATTGTACCATATTCGCCCGGATCTACCCAATTTGCCAACAAAGGTGAAATTGTTGATAGGCGGTACTTGACGATGAACAATATTGGATACGCATGGATTGTAATCAACAAAGACCCCGGTGCAACCAGTAGCATCACTGTGTCATTCTTTGACAGGTCAATGAACAGTGAGTATCATTTCACCGATTTGCAAAAATTTGATCTTGCTTCATTGAATCAGAAGAGTATAGTCTTGGGTGAAAGCACCAAAGGAACGATTGTTTATAAATCACATAATGATGTTGGTAATGATTCCTGGGAAAAGACTTTGCCATTGGTAAAGGATGAGTACTTGACTAGTATATGCATCACCAACTCCAAAGCCAACAACACTATTGTCGTGGGTACAAACTTGGGGTATCTACGCTTCTTCAACGAGTATGGGATATGTTTAAATGTCATCAAAACAATACCTGTTGTGTCGTTGGCAGCTTCTTATGGAATCGTCCTAATGGTGAATCAAGTCACTGCTAATGTGTACACATACACCATTTTTGATATTTACCAAGATTACAAAACCATTCAACAAAACTTTCCCATACCACTTAAAGAATGCAAAACGCAATTGATCAAAGGAATGTTTTTCAATGAGTATAATGATCCTTGTATTGTTGGAGGTCATGATGATACGTTGCTTGTGCTTCAATCGTGGAGAGAAACTGGAAATGCCAAATGGATCCCTATTTTGAACTTGCACAATGCTATAACTGAGTATGGATCGAATGAGAACAAATTGAACTGGTCATGTTGGCCATTGGGGGTAATCAACGATTGTCTCAACTGCTTGATTTTGAAAAATGGCAACTACCCAGGTTTCCCGTTACCATTACCGGTTGAGATTGATATCGAGATCCCCATCAAGTTGAGCAAAAATGGAAAACGAGGAGATTCCAACGGCGCAGCAAATGGAGAAGCAAACGGAGATGCGGATAATGAGGAAATGGAAGTCGACTGCGAAGAACAATTCCTTCGATCACTAACCATGGGCAAACTACTCAGTGACACAGCAGCCAACTACGAAGAGGAACAGCTTAGCGACGACATCGACCAGGACTCAATCATGACCAAATTGGAACATTACAGTACCGTCTTTGACAAGTCCTTGATCAAGTTGTTTGCCGAAGTATGTAAACAGCTGAAGTTGAACAAGGCGTATAGCATTGCCAAATTGATGAAGACGGATAAGGCATTGTTGGCTGCTAGTAAGATTAGTGAACGGATGGAGTTTTTGACGTTGGCTAACAAGATTGGTCAGTTGAGAGAACAATTGTTGGTGGATTTAGATGATTGATTTGTGTTTTATTTCTGTTTGCTGTTGTCTCTATATACAAAAAGAATTCCTGACTATAAATCTCTGGCCGTATGGATATAGCGTTAACGTAAAAGTCACATCCTCAACACGGTGGCTTGATAAGTGCGCTCAGACTCTTTCTTACAATCACCGCCACATCCACTATGAATTGCCATTCTCTGCTTTCCTCACTTGAGTTGTCTTTGAATGTAGTGGAAAACAATTGGACTGACCCACAAGACACCAGCCACTATACCGGCAAACTTCAAGGTGTCATATGCGTATTGTTCTTGAACTTTCTTTTGTTCTTCGCTTGGTGGTGGTCCTCCGTACATGATGTATTGTACTTATCTGTGTGTGTATGTTTCTGGTAAAGCAGGGATCTGATTAGTTTTGGTTTCTGGGTTAAAAAATTTTTTTTTTTTTCTTGTTCTTGGTTGTTCGATAACTTTTACAATAAGCTTGAGAATGGAATTCGCCACTCAAGATGCGTAAAACTCGCAATCATTCTTAAAAGGGCTAGAGTTAGTAGCGTTAGGGGCCCTCATTACTCGGTACCAGTAGGCTCTAGCTGCAGTGCACGTATCGGATTTGTAGAGATTTCTCTTTCTTAAATGATGTCATATATTAGATCACGTGTGT